ATGCCCCATTTCTCCCCGCCAGAAACTTGCCTTCCAAAAACAGAAACAAGCATTTTTCAAAGGCGCTTCCTATCTCGCATCTCCACTCACTGAACATCTGATCCCCCACACTCATGCCAAGCCCGGCACCGAAGAACAGTACGCCTCGATTCCTGTCACTGTACGTCTCCCCGAGCGTGCTAAACCCGGCCAATCTTTCCCCACTGTCCTTCAAATATACGGTCTAGATGGTTACCGTACCGAGCACACTATGCCATCTTCCCATCACATTGCCCGCGGCTGGGCTTCTATTGCCGTCGAGATACCCGGCACTGGAGACTGCCCAGCTGACCCTAATGATCCCACTTCCCCCGACCGCCTCTGGAGTTCCGTGCTCGATTGGATCGAGCAGCAACCATGGATCCAACAAGGCAAACTCGTAGCTTGGGGCGTATCCTGCGGCGGATACTACTCCATGCGCATTGCACACACCCACGCATCCCGCTTCGCAGGTGTGGTCGCACAGGGCGGAGGCTGCCACTCCATGTTCGACCCAGAATGGTTGGAGATTGCTTCCCACATGGAATACCCATTCGACCTGACCCAAGTGCTCGCTCTTAAATTCGGCTACGATGACGTTGAGAAGATGAAGCTAGACTCCCGCCAACAATTCTCGTTACTCGAGAACGGCATCTTGGATATGGCGAGTTGCAGGATGTTGCTGGTGAATGGTATGTTGGATGAGCTGTTTCCGATTGAGGATTGCCTACTTCCGCTTCGATATGGGAGTCCGAAGGAAGTGAGATTCTTCGAGGATTCAAAACATATGGGCGAGCCTCATGCGAGGAAGTTCATCCTTGAGTGGGTCGAGAGTATCTTCGGCAACGTTGGTGGGAATATGGTGCTTACGAACTGGGAGAAGCCTGCGAATGGTGTGCCTAAGCCGGTAGCGAACGGGGCCCCAAAGCAACCTACTAACGGTGCCATCAATGGTGTTACGAAGAAGGCTGTCAATGGAGTCAATGGGGTCAAGGATGTCATTGTCAGTGTTCCTAATGGGGTGGATGGAAGGCACATTATGAACGGGTGCTGATCAGGATTATTTCCCTCTCATTTCCATTCGTGCTTCACGTGTTTCTGTAGTCTTCTTCTTTTCTTTATCACTCTGTGTAGATCCAAGTTTCGCACGATTTTCTTAGCCTCTTTCTCTGTACTTAGCATTTATGCGATGGTTTATTCCTCGAGAAACAGGACAGATTCTCGTTCAATGACGTATTCAGAAGAAGCGGATCTATTCCGTCTTCCCTCCCAAACTACGAGCAATCCTGAAAGCTGAAAGAGAAGGGCGCAATCCTCAAGGCTGAAATCGAGCCTTGCATGGGCGCTAGCCGGAAACGGACCCCGGGTTAACAGCGAATGCACACTTTTGCTTACCTGCATCTAGCTTTGGGCCTCGATAGAGCCCAAAAGTCGCCGACCATTTCTCAAGACAAGTTAACCATCGGGCGGCGGTTCAAAGGGGAGCCAACGACTTGCTCTCTCTTCTCACCTGCAGCATGTTCGTCCCCCACCCCACGAGGCTCTCCAAAATCTAGAACTACGCCGTACGATTTGCTATAGATGAAACCGAGGAGAGAGCTAATAGTCCTCCCTCATATTCTTCCATAAAGCAGGTTTGTCCTCCAACTCACGGCGCCCTCCTAGCTAGGGAATTGCATTATACGCTCGGTCGTGTGCGACTAAACCAATAATTAAAGAGCACGCAATGGATAGAGTCCCTTGCATTGCTTTTTTTTGTGAACGAGACGGTTCGGCTTTGTCCGTGAGGCGTCAAATCCCACATTCAAGTGCGCCTCACCCCTGCCGAACTTAAACCAGGAGAGACTTTGAAAACCCATTCAAGGCAGTCAAATATATAAAGCTTTCACTATTGTCGGAGGGCAAATCGTTCCCTCATCTCACCTGAATAGTCCGCTCTTTCCCAGTACGCAGCCCAAGACAGCCACCCAAAATCCACCATGACTGACACTCTCACCAAACCATGCACTGAGCTCTTCAAGGTGGAGGCCGCATGGGAGTGGAAGCCAAGCTCCCACGAAGACCTAGGATTATATAAAGGCGACATACTTTCCGTCTTCGAAAAGATTAACGAACACTGGGCACGCGGACGTAATATCAAGACCGACCGTCGAGGAAGATTTCCATTCAATTACACAAGACCAATCACTGAAAACTCGCTCGAGGGTACCACCGATGAAGAAGAGAATTACAAGGCCCTCGTCCTCCACCAACCTCCTGCAGAGACGACGGTAAGCTTACCACTATCTATTTCCGCAATGCACGCATTAACGATCGGACTACAGAACGCCGCCTTGCGGGTCACCACTAGCTCTCAAGAGCTACAGCCTTACACAAACCCAGCCCAACCAGCGTCCTGGAACTCAGTCCCGCAGCTAAACCAGGCTATTTATCAAATGCTCACCGGCGCCTTAACCACGCAACCTCAAACCCTCAACCCCCAACTCCAACAAAGCACATATCCCGCAAACACCTACGCAAGCAATCCACTGCAACCGCAACCGCAAATCCAACAATGGCCGGGTCCCATACCGAATATCTCCACCGGCGGAGCCCCCGTCATTATCGGCAACAACAACGTATTCAGGCAGTATAACGACAACCATCGCTCTTACGAGGACAGACATCGCTCTTACGAGGATATGCACCTCTTCTATAGCGACAGCCGTCGCTCGTTCTCACACCACGGTGACTATGATTATACGGACCAGGGGGATCGGTGGTATGGGAACGGGCAGCCGGGCCGATGGAACGGGGGCAGACAGTCACGGTACTCGAATTGAGATCGTGGGTCTCAGGTCGGAAGAAGAAGGAGTGGATTGGAAAGGTGATGGAGAGTGGATGCATGACGATGAGGTATCTACGGATATTGGGCTTTACGCCAGGTGTTCTTACACCTATTGTACACAATGCTTTTCCGGCACCTTTAAACCTCGATGACTTGCTTGAACTGCTTGGATTAGGTAGTTTATTAGCTATTGCATAATCCTCTGCATACATGTTTTCCATAGCAAGCAATACATGTCACGAACACTCATTCATTCGCGTCCTGCCCGACACTGTCTATACCTATCGTTTCATTCCTCTCCCACCAGCCCCTATTTCCCCATCAAATTACTCCTACTCCCACTCCCCCAAATCGGATTCGGCTGATACTCAAACCTCCCATCCTGCTGCTGCACCAACTCCCCATCAAACAGGGGCGTTGTATCCTCATCCACACTACTCGGCGGAGTCCTCGTCTCTCCCCTAATAATCTCCATTGTGTTAATCAACGGCAAACTCAACAACAGCAACGGCAATAACTGTCCAAAACTCCACTCCTTCTCGCCCATACCAACCAACCTTACACTCTCGGGCGGATGGCCAAAAGCCTGCGAAACGAGCACCACGCGCACCGTAGCCCCGAGGCCCATAGCCACGAGCGCGATGAGTCCGACGACCTGCACTGTCTTGAGCCATTTGGGGTTTTGCCGGTTGTGCAAGTACCATGTTGAGAAGGCGAAGACGATGACGTTGCCGGCGATCACGGCGATGGTTCCGACGAGCGAGAGTGCCGCGTTGGAGGATTTTCCCCGCGACTCGACGACCCAGACACAGGCGATTGGGAGCCGGGGTTCGAGATTTTTCATCACGGATTGCAGGACGAAGATACTACTTACAACTCCCAGAATCAGGTTGATGAGCATGAGGAATTGACGTAGCCAGCGGAGGACCCAGTCGCGTTTGAAGTCGTTGACGAGGGCGATGAGAGTGGAGAGGTTTGTGGCGGTCGAGAGGGTCGAGAGCAGCCAGATAATAAAGAAGTGGTAGGGGACCATTGTTTTCATTTTGGCAAGGCCGACGGATTGGAGGCCGATTCCGGTGAGGATTTGCTGGTCAGAGAAGGAGAGGAGCAGCTTTCGGCATATGGGTGCGGAGGTGGATTTGCGGAGGTTGAGGAGGACGATGATGGAGGAGAGGAAGAGGGAGAGGCAGTTCGTTATGATGAAGGATAGCAGAACCTTGGGGAGAGTTAGTATTTTGGAAAGACATGGTAAATAGAGGGAAAGATAGCTTACACCTGCGCCAGCGACGCCCGCGTCAGTGGCCACTGAGTCCGGCACCACCGAGCAATTCCCTGCGTCAAACATCCTCGCAGAAGCATAAAAGTCGCAGATATTCAAGCGACAAAACAGTGGGGTATTCGCTCAGCGCAGCCAGCAAAAGAAATGCAGAAAGAGAATGAGTGTGGGAGCGTGAGCGCGAGTGTATGCAACTCTCAAAAAAGTGTTCGCGTGGTCGTTGAAGTGTTAATAGCGTCAGCCCGGCCGAGGTGGGCTACCTTTGCTCTTGAGCCCTCCTATGTCATCACCGCTCCAAATAAAGGCTATTGTTAGACGCGTGGGCACTGGGCATTAAAGAAAGGGACAAGGGGGTCCAAGAGGGGATCAGCACTCAAAGAAACCTGCTCCAATCGATGATCATTGTCGTGTTTGTCTGAGGCAACGCTGTGGCTGAGCGCTTAATCCGCGACACGGCGAAACGCGCTGTGTCGGCCACTAGAATGTTTCAAGAGCCTCAAAAAATCTCCGGCGCTCAAATAAGTAGGCGGTGAGACTGTTGATTTGAACGAGAAGAAGCGCCAGGTATCGCGCAAAGAGTAAAAGAAACAACACCGTCTTCTAGTGTTTAGTTATTCGGGCGGATTGGGGGTCGGAGGGAATGCTCAGGTGGGATTACGATATGACGATCCGCACCACAGCCACAATGCCAAGCGCTCAGCATGAATCTACTCAATTTGGCAGGTCCTGGAACGGGTGTGGATCGCAGCGCGCAATTGCGCAATTCACAGTGCTTCATGCCAAGAAAATATGCGAGGCCCCGGATCGTGCTTGACAAACACATGCATCACACGGCTGCCGAATAAAATAAAAAAGAATGCCAAAGCAGCAAAAAAGAAGTGCTGCTGCCCAGAATCGAACTGAGATTAACACGGCCACAACGTGTTGTGATACCATTACACTACAGCAGCTTGTTCACGTGATTTATACCAAGACTTGAAAATATTCAATATGTATGCTTGTCAAAATAAAGTCTTCTTTGGGTACTTAGGTTGCTACTTGGCAGAAGCTTCAGTAAAGGCATCGCAGGCACAAATAGACTAGGAAAGAGGCGGTGACAGAGTTTTGCTCATGCGAGTATTTTGATTGGAGTGAGTGGGGCACGGCTGGCCACTCCCTCCGTTTGCTCCTGGATAATGTAGTCCTGGAAACTTTGCACATTACATTCAAAGTCGGGCAAATTACAAGAAGAATAAGACGCTCAAGTTCTGAGGAGCTATGTACGGAACCATCAGCTCACGCCAGCAGCTTGGCCGGGCCGCCACGTCCGGGTATATAATTCTCCAGCATGAAGCAAGCAATGTCTAAGCCTAAAGTCAGGAACAAGGATAGGGTAATGGGAGGAGGATATCCAAGCCCAATCAAAACGATAACCCCGCTCTCACAATACTCTAGCAATGCTTTCGCTCCCCAAGAATGACAACCATCGCTATGCAACGCCCTACAATGCCGCTCAAACCAAGATCCAACCAAAAGGATAACACACCAAATCCTGACCAACCCCCATAATCCAACCTATAACCTTCCCACCCCTGTCTTAGCGCCAAAATCTCCCTTATTATATCTCTGCAAATCCCACCCTGTCCTCTTAAACCTCTTCATCTCCCACTTCCGCCTCTCCTCGAACTCCTCACCCGCTATTCGCTTCCGCAATTCCATTTTCGTCGGTACGAGTGCACCCTCGCTGTCCATCTTACCAAAAGTGCCGGTGTCGTGCATGATCTCGGATTCCTGCCACGTCCATGAGAATTCTTTGAGGAGCGGGTGCGTTTGGTTGTTTGGTTGGGTGGCAGAGAAGGGGGTTTTATGGGAGAATTTAAGCAGGTCCGGAGTTGTCGTTGATGTGGACTTGTTCTCGACTATAGCTAGTTTGGAGGAAGATGCCTGCGGGACGTGGAAAGCAGTTTGATATTGTTGGTGCGCCGGACGTTTCGAAGGGACCAGGATGAAGGGATCCGAATCGTCGTTGTCCTCTTCAATGCTGAGTTTCTGGCCTGTCGTGGAGACTTTTTTCTTTCGTGGTGAATCCATCTGCATGCTATCATCCAACCCCTTGATTCCAAATATGTTGTTTCTTCCAGCCGGAAAAGGTTTTGGAGATTTCAATGGACCTGGGATCCAGTCGCTCTCGGGGTCGCTCTCGGGCTCAACGGTATCTCCCCTCCGCCTCGTATTCTCCTCGTCCTCGACCGGCAAGCTTGCCCGAATCTTCGAGGGTGTTGCGGAAACCGAGGGAACAGCCCTGACGCTATCCTTCCCTTTGCCCTTCGCATTCGCCCTCCCTTCCTCCACCTTCTTATCCACCCTCTCCATTTCGACGTCCTGTTTCTCTTCCCCTCTCATCTGCGCCTCCCTAACCTCCTCGATCAGATCCCTCGGAATCGCAGCATGTATCCCCGTCATCAACCTCGCCCTCCTACAAAACCCATCCCAGTCCTCACTCGCCAATTTCCCGGCCGCCTCATTCAGCGCACTCGCCGGGTTCGGCTGGATCAGCAGACAGCTGATCGTCACCAAGACATCCCTCAACTTCAACGTGCTAACCCAATCCCGCTTCAGCGTCTCGACGCACACCGCGCCTGACGATTCGTCGATATTCGGGTGCCAGAGTCGCGTGCGAAATGTCGCTGTGGGCGGCGCGGTCGGGTAAGTAGGTGGTATATCGAGATGCAATCGCCATACACCGGCCGCATATGGAGTTCCTGGTGGGCCCGCGAGAAGCACGTCGAGGGAAGTGAGGTCAGAAGATGGGTCGTTCGCGGAAGAGGATGGGAACAGGTAGTTTGGTGGTAAACCGTCTCTCTGGAGAGAGCCATGGTCTGCAGCGAGACGACGGATGGATTTCGAGTTCTGCATCATGTCGTTTAGTTTGCGGATTTACAATGACGAGCGCGCCTACGAGCATCGCGTCACGACACGGGTCAGGAGAGTTGCGCTTACCATGTTTGTTGTTGTTGTTGTTGTTTGTAAAGGGACGTTACCCCGAAGAATTTGAGGAAATAGTGTCGACCAAGGGTATTTTGAATTTCATGAGGTGTTAAGACGATTGTTGGCCTGGAGACTGGGGATGAACGACCGACCCTCCTTCACTTCGCGAAAGCGTGAAAGCGCGACGCCCCACCAATGCGATCGGCTAGCCTATTTCAGCGATATCGCGCTTGTTTGGCGTCAAGGCGTCAAGGCACCGCCCACCTTGTGATCAAGGTTCAATAGCCTTCCTTGGATGTGTTCACTCGTCACCGGCGGATTTCACGTTCACTTATCTTAAGATTGAAATTTCGGGCACAGTGTGAGGCAATTCTGCATAGTATCACCACAATGCATCCGATATGGATGCAGAATCTCGCACCAACTATATATTCGCGGGCCAAGATCCACCTTCCATGCCAAATACCATGTCTTTTCCATGCTCGTTCCAAAAAGCACCAAGAACGCCACGCTAATCACGTTGACTCTGTTTACAGGATGTCCATCTCCTCCGCGGGTTCCACGAACGGATATTGACCACTTTCAATTGTCGCGACCCGGTCCAATTCCGCTTGGTACTCCTTCCGCAGTGTATCAAGCGTGACAATCTGCCTCTTAAGCAGCTTCCTTGCTTTACCAATGTTCCATTGAGGCGGCGGGATATCATCGAGACGCTGCTCGGCAAGGATATATGCCTCTTCTTCGCTGACCGAAGATAGCGTGTTGATGATCATGAGATAGCACTGCGTCAGAGATTCGTCGGCCGGATCATGCACCTTCGTCGAGGTAGTTTTCAGCCGTTGTAGTCGCTCGTAGAGTATTGATGCTGCTCCCCGGAAATCATTGCGACTGATGCGGAAAGCATACAGGATTTGATAGTAGGGTGGACCCGAGGAGAGGTTCAGGGTTTTGTGGCAGAGGGAGGAAAGAATGGCGTCGACGTCGTTTATTAGTCCAACGAATGGGTATTTGAGGAGCGTTTCGGTCTGAGATTGCTGTATCATTGTGGTCACCAGGGTCTGTAGTGCAGAATGCTTCCTAGAGACCGTTAGTCTTTAATGCTCGTCCACGGGGAGTGGGCACCTACAAATTCTCATCCTTCTGCCTGGTCATAGCCGAGTAAGCGTCGTCAAATCGCGACGTCTGTATCGATGCACTATACAATCGCGATAGGAGGTCTGGCTTGAGACGGTCCTCTTTTCCGCCCTCCAGGGATCGAAGACCTAAACGCGCAAAATCGGCAGTAAATGAGTAAGCCTTGACCTTTTCAAACAGCCCCAGAATATGTTGATAGTAATTGGAGAGGCCATCCGAGAAATAATTGCGCTGATCTGGCGGGATGAAGTTTATCGTGTCGGCGTCGTCAATGCTAAACATTCCCAATCCTATTCCAGTCAGCTTTGGAATTCCGTGTTCGTCGACAGACTTACCGAGGGTGTATGCTGCCTTCTGAAAGCATATTGAGGCAAGATCGAGTTCTCCCAGCGCTAAGTGCATACGACCCTTCAGATAAACACTCCAGTTGGTCTCTTGCAGGAACCGGGAGAACTCTAACGCGAGTGCGAACTCTTTCTGGCTGAGGAGTATGCCCATGATCATTTCCGTAGCGCCATCGAATGTTTGTTCGTCAAAAACCTCATTGAGCCACACGCGGCTCCAATAGGTGAGACGATTGCTCTTGAGCCTCGACGGCAATGGGGTGTCAAAGCAACGATGCCCAAATATGCCCTCTAGAACGGTTTGTGTGATTGGTAATATTCCTTTGTTCTTGTATTTCTCGTCCAGCGCTTTCATCAGCTCCTCTGAGCTGGGTCCGGTGGATGTCGAATGTGACCATATTGTGCTCGCCAACCATCGCAGAACTGCGTAGTTCTTTAGCTGGTTGCAGATCTCAATGAATATTTCTGATGCTTCGAAGTCGTCTGACAGTTCCTCCTCAAAATGCATAAAGAGAACGAGGACGAGGAGATCCAAAAGTACGTTGTAGCTTATTTCCAGATTCTCTTGAGAGACCCGAACCAAGGCATCGAGACCAAATCTGGCGATCTGCTTTTTCTGGCTATGGCGGCCCTGTTCTTCTTGGCTCAACAGTCGAATCGCTTCGAAGAACATCTCGTTTGGGAGGTCCTTGGTACTCATACCAAGCTCCTCAACGAGCAGGTTCAGATCGTCGTCCGAAACTTGTCGGGACAGATCGAGCTTCACTTCGAGTTGTTCCATACGGTCCGGAACAGACAGCGACTGGCTTTGCTGAAGCTCATTGTTTACATGCCACTGCAGCTTGCTATTGAACGAAATCGGAAGATTCCTCCGGAAAGAAGCGGCGGCATTCAGAAGCCTGGCGACGTGTCGAGCATCGGAATTAGGTATTTCTCCCAGAAGGGTTTCTGCAAGTCGATCCGGTGATGAAACGGTGGTAGCGTTCATCGCGATGACCTCCGGTGGGCTGCATTTCCGGATAGCGGAGAGATAGTCGGCCAAGACAAGCCATGGCATCTCGAGCTTGCTATCAAAGACAAGCGACAAAGACTCTCCTCGACGCTTATGTAGATCCTTGACCAGCCCGTAGAATGTTTGCCACTGGGCAGAGATGGCCTCCTCGTATTCGTCATAGTCGTTTACGTTATCCTGGACCTGTGCTGTGAACGCTGCGACGGTTTCGCTGATGCGATCCTTTAGTGATCCTTTTCTAGACGCGGATAATGATCGTGCCGATTTTAGCCCTCGGCGGAATAGAGTTAATGCAGTCTCTAGAGTCGCCACGGTGAATCGTCCTGGATGGAACAGAAACTCTAACCATTGCTCCGTGGAACCCGAAAGGCCTGTCTCCATTGCGTCGAGGTCTTGCTCGCTTGGATTTGCAGGGTTGAGACGGAGGCCATCCACCGTGAGAGGTCCAGAATCAACACATATCCAATTATGTTTCCAGGCATGCGTCAGCTTT